TTTTTTAACGTATTTAGTACAAATTCTACAGGGTATCACTACACAGATCGGACTTAATCTGTTTTCAGCCTCCCAAGCACTGGGATTACAGGTGCGCACCACCACACCCAGTCTTAATTGCAGTTTCAGGGCACTCCCTGGGGACAGAGCCAGCAAGACATGCCCGGGATTGAACTCCGTTCCCTACATCTGCCTAAAAGCTGGCCCTCTTACATGGCTCCTGACAACTTTGTAAAGGGCGTTACTGCCTTACCTTGCCTCAGCCTGCTGGAATAAACATTGTCATTATTTCAGTCTTACTAGTGATGGAACTAAACGTTAGATTTCCAAAACAGGTACTGAGGAGCCTGCATGTGAATCTAGATGCTAAGATTTTCGTGCACAACACACTGAAATGCCACACTCACTGAAAAACACAGGAATTAATGGAATGAAAGAGAATGCATTGGACATTCTGATCAACTCTGTTACTTTGTTGTATCTTTTATAGCATAAAACCTAAACGTGTTTTCCGTAAGACTGCTGCTCTGCCACATAACTCCAAAGGGCCTCATTCATGCCTTAGTCTGTATGAATGCAGCCCCCTAGAGGTGGGCAGGGCACAGCTTGCTCAGTTGTACTTAAAGCCCATTTGTTGATTTTCCAAGGTGTAAAATTCAACCTTAATAGTATATTGTTGACATTTATGAAGAATGTGTCCTGAGAGCTTTATGAAGGTCCACAAATACCAGGTAACAGACCTACAATATTAGAAAATACACAAGTACAAGAAAAGTGTCCAAATGCTATAAAATACAACTTCACTAGAGTTACAGTCACTGACAGAAGGTCACAATGAGACTGAAAACTGGAGAGCTAGCCATGTTGCTCTCTGACTTGGTGACTTTGCTTCTCAGTGCAGTCTGGACAGTGTCAGCAAGCTGCTAAATTATGTTATGTCACAGGAGCACTATGGTTCTTTTGAACAGCTAAAACTGCAAGTGATGAATAAACCATCAGGGACTTCTTGATACGTTAACATACCGCCTTTGCATTTTACAAGTCAAACACAGGCAAAGCATCCTAACTCTGGTCCATCCTCCACATGTGCAGGAGTGAAGGCAGCTCTAGCTTGCTTCTGCTCACAGATAGCAAAGCAGCACACAGCTGTCACTTGTGAAGTGCTGCCTAAGTTGTGTACTATGACTTCGACAGCTTATATTTCAAAAGGGCTCTGTGGTCAAATATGGCAGGAAAGCCACATTCCACTCCTCTTCCAAGTCACAATATAACATAAGGAGTCAGAGGCTCTAAGTTGTTGTTTCACTCAGAATTTCTTTATCATAGAACTTTCTCCCTGACTCCCTCCCCAAGAATTCTCACAGAAACCTTGGGAATGAGGAGCATTATTGGAAAGGACTGATGTGTGGATTCTTATGGTGGAGGAGCAGCCTTGTGCTGCTGCCACTTCTCTGATTAGTGGTATTAAGCTGCCCAGGAGTCCCTTTCTGGAGCAGCCAAAAGTTTGCAGCAGCTTCTTCCCTAAAAAAGGCCACAGTGGAGAATCTTACTCATCATTGTAGAAAACTGTATATATAGAAACCATGACCCCTCCTTTGGGCTTTCAGATTCTAGAAAATAGGGATTTATGTTTCACTTTTCTGGGACCTAAGCACATTTTCACATGTGAGCATGGGGAGTCATCCTTCCCTCTGCACCAGGGTTCCTGAGACGGAGAGTCTGAAGCCTGTCATCCCTACAGGGTCCCAGTATAGTGTCAGCCCTTTAGAATACTGTGAAATCAGTGTAACGTATCACTCGTTCTTTAGTGGAATAAAATGAACAAGAATAGAGTATCAATATACCATATATAGCAAGACTAATTATTGGGCTGAGAAACTTTGTTTCAATTATGTATTTATTGGTGCTTTTCCTTGTTCACAAAATAAACTGTATTGGGGGCCTGGCCATAGCTCAGTTCTTAAGTGGCTGCTTCCACAAAGCTGTCAGCCTCAGGTTGCTGTAGTTCGATTCTCACAACACTCCAGCCAGCCAAACCACGCCTGAGGGCATTCAGAGAAGAAAAAAAAAAAACCTCTTAAAATATAGGAAATAAAGCCATGCTGTTATGTTGAGCTGTGGGGGACTCAGGTCAATAATTTCTGACACTGCCAGTTAAACAGAAGACC